ACGGCACGGGCCCAGAGCCGTTCGTAAATTCGGGTATTCGTAAAATCGGGGTTGACCCAAATTCCTATATATTTGCACTGATACTACTTACACTGGCCTAGGCTAGGCCTACAGGCTTACGCAGCTATGTCTGAAGGGGCCTAGGCCTACAGTTGGCAGCTTCTAAGCATTCTGATCCCACTCTAGGCCCTGCACAAATTTGTTTTTATCGGACATTTTTACCTTCTTAAATACCTAGATCGTGGATTTTATTCCAACACAACTTCCATAGATACTTGTTTATTATATATATTGATCATTCAATAAAACAATCAAGCACTATGTTGAATTTTTAAGCTGAAAACGATGTTTGAAAGAGAAGTAAAATTTATCGCATGCACATGTATGAAGAGGCCCGTTAGAGGGCCTCCTTCACTTCTGTATAGTATGGTGTGTTGTGTTGTATGCATGGTAATAACAGGTACAATTCGAGCGGATTTTTTTTTTTTTTTAAATCTTTCGCGTCAATTTTTATGATGTCATCACCTTTATATTACGTTCGTAAAATCGGGAATTCGTAAAATCGGGGTTCGTAAATGAGGGGTTCTACTGTACTTGTAACCATCCTGTTTGTTACCAACTAAAATTTTGATATTTAAAAGCATTCAGCGTCGCCAGTTTTGAACGGACATGCAGGAGATGCCCTGACGAGGAGGCAGATTTCCCAGACGACAGCAAAGTGGGCGTGGTCTAGCGTCGCTTAAAATGTTTCAAAGGCTTATTGATTTTAGTGTCTACTAATATGTAGAAAATAGCATACAATTCTTTTTTTCTCCCCAATGAATTGTGGTTTTTCTCACTGACAGGGGAGCTCCCCAGCTCCAAGAAAATTCAAAAAGATGGTACCACGTAATGATGCCACATTTTGTTGATGGATGTTTCATGGAAAAATTCAGATTCAAATTGTAAGACTGGCCTTTAATTCTTTCAAAAAATAAGAATTGACTTGGACATTCTGGCAATTTCTTGATTACAAAGCAGCAAAATAGTATACAGCTTGTCATGCTGGCAAGAGCGGAAATGCTTTATTAACAGGTATTTATAAAGGTATATTTATTTTATTGAAAAATGTACTTTGTGAGTGGTTGAATCATGTAAAAATGTTTTATAATTATGTGTTGTGACTGTGAGAACAACATTGAGGTAAAAAAATTAAGAATTAAAAGTTAGGTGTGAAAGTGCATTAGCACTGCCTTGATTAGATTCTCTATATAGGCCTAGCCTAAAGATAGGCCTAAACTAGAGAATAGGTAGGTAGGTAGGGGGGGGGGGGCTCAGCTAGCCCTGCCCCCAACCAAGCTCGAGATCGTCCGCATCGTCGACAATTGCCGATTTACTTGCCTAAATAATGCTTAAATAATTTTAATTTATCATATGATTACACTATTTCAGAGTTGCGGTATCTCGGCCAAATCTAATTACACATCAACCAAACTTTACTGCATTCAAATATACGGTAATCTGTCTAGGGCCTACCTAACCTAGTTAAGGCCCCCGGCTCAGAATGGCCTACATTCTTCCTTCCAGTCCAGCCACACAGCTCACTCAGGAACAGGGCTGAGTTGAGGTGTGTTGCGATTATCTCAAATTCATATAGTAAAATAAGCAACCTACCAAAATGCGCTTGAACAAGCTGTTCTCTTTTGATGGAAGAGGTTGTGAACTTGGCATTTTGAAGCCGTTTTGTTAAAGGAAACCTTTCTAATACCAAAATAAAAAGGAATTTTCCTTCGGCGTAAACCTCGTGTATCATCAAACGAGCCAAAATGGCCGACAGAAAAGACGCATGCGTGTTGCTAATGTTCAAGATTTCCTCATATTTAATTTGTTATTTTGAGCAAGTTATAAATATGAGATTATATAAATATATAAGATATGAATAGTATAGATATATACAATATATTTTCATCCAATGTTAGAATTTAGCAGATGTCTAAATTTAGTTTAATTTTCAGAGTATTCAATGCTGCTTGACCTGGGAATTAAAATGTCAGGGAGAAAGAAAAGTCACTTGATCAACTATCGACATCAGACACCAATCACCACAACAGGGTTTAGTACGAGACGGCTTAACTTTGAATTGGTGTTATATTGAAAGTTTGGGGTTATACCCCCAAAAAAATGTATATACACGTGTTTATTGAATCTTGACGTAACTAATATCATGGGTTGTTGTTTTGATAAACAAAAAGAAGTAGGTTCCCAGGTTAGTTAATTTTTGTTGTTGTGTGAAATGGTAGTGCACGTTCAACCAGTCAGTCACATGATTTTGTATCTACCTGTACACTGTACTGCTGTACCTATTTCACATCACGGTGAACATTCGACAAGGTGTACAACCAACCTACCGGTTCAATGTGTAACTTTCATAATAACATAAAGCCTTTCTAATGGTATCCTCCCTAGGCTAGTCTCCTGCCTATAGCCTAATGATATTACTGTACATAATGTTGTAAATAATATATAAATTTGTTAATTTTGAGTAGGCCTTGTAGTAGTAGTGAAGTGTAGCAGGGCCAGTCAGTAGTATGTACTAATCTATAAATAGCCTTAAGTCATAAATTCTTTTTTGTAGAAGGAATGATTTTTTTTCCTGGGCCTATTCCTCATATGTATATGTTATATACTGTATGTATTTTTCTTTTGATTATTTTATTAGGGCTATTAATCTAAATTAATTTATATTATTACTACTGATTCTATATTAATACTCTGTTTTGTCTCATTTTACCGATGTACTGAGGCCCCTAAAGGCCGTTTTCCACAAAACAAATTTATTCGCGCGAATTAAAATGTTGGGTTGCTTCCTTGAGCTCTGATTGGATGTACATTTTTATGCTTCGCAAAAGTAGGAATAGTTTGTGAATGCGCATGTACCTACCCTTTCGATTCACGCAAGCAAATTCGTCTAGTGGAAAATAGGCTTAATGACCAGCTTCAACTGGTTGGACCACCCTCATGAAAGATATACTGTACACCTATACATGTTCATTTCATAAACACCACCACTATTTAAGATAGTATACATACTCCAAGTATCGGAATGCACGCCATCATGTCGGGATTCAATATTCCGACATTAATTATGTCATCATCAAATACTTGTGCATATAAGCTTGCAAATATGGATAACTTTTCATTCCTGATGATGACATAATTAATGTTGAAATAATGAATCCCGACAGGATGGTGTGCATTTCGATACTTGGAGTATGTATTATACTATCTTATCTGAGATTAAGCAAGTCTTCTGGAAAACGGCAAATACTCCGACAAACCCCACCTTGTGTAAATTAATTTATCTTTTTACTTTCCCCTCTCGTCATACAGGCCTGGACCTACGTCGTCTGATGCCACAAAGAGGTCGACAGACCAAAAATATTAATTTGCCAATTTTGGTCTTTAACTATTAAAAGCATAATCTTGAGCCATTATTTAAGCCATAAAATAGGCTTCCAGTGGGAGCGTGGTGTCTATTGCTTGACCTAAGTTTTCTTGTTTTTAACTGATAACCCATCCAGGCTATCTGTGTTGGCAATTCACTTGAATAACTGTACAAGTTAAACAGATAGTTGACTTTTTAGTTCTCAGTCAGGTTTTATCTAGGCAGCCGCATGGCATCATATTTCATAGGTTTACTTTTGAAAGATGTATGATGCAACCCATTATTCCTTCAAATGGATTCACTCTTACAACTTACAAGTGAGACAATATAGTAGCTAAGTGTTACAAAAACTCTTCCCATGAACCTTCAATACCAGAGATTTTTATTCCGGGACCTTGACCGAGGCTGCAGTCGGCCCCATGGGTGGGACCCCTGTCGGCTAATTTCTGGAGCCACAACTAATTCACACCGCCCTCATTGTTTCTTATTTAATGAAAATGATGAGAAAAAAAAAAGTAAGCTAACCTACTACTATACATACCTTTATGCAAGCTTTACAAATCAATAACATGGAACAAATTAAATAGAAATTTCTGTAGAAATTTTTGTATTTATACCTCTATGTTTCAATTACACAGTATTGAATGATTATATTTGATAAATTGAGGCAAAAACCTTTTAAAATAAACTGTACATTATCAAATTTTCTTTGACAAAAAACTGTTGTATGTGCCTATATATCATCATGACCATATTTAGGCATATCACGATTGAATTGTTTATTCTGAACAGATGACGACATGAAGTTAATAATACTTGTCTCTTATCCAAGAACCATTTACTTTGATTTTAAGTTTTTTTTTTTCTTTTTCATTTTTCTCTTCATCAGGATGAACCTGGAGAAAGAAGTAGACTATTAGGTAATCCAGTTGGGAATACACCTCACCGGCCAATCACAAGGTACATTGAGTATTGAGTAAAGTATTTCTTATTTTTCTACAGGATAACAGCGAGGCAGCCCTCCTGCCCGAATCTGGAAGCCCATCTGATAACTGGTACCGATTTCTGTTTCTTTTATAATGATGGCAATGTATCTTTGACCAATCTTTTGTGTTTTTTTTTTTTTTTTTATCAATACAGTTACTTAAACAATAATACATTACTTCTGTAATAATAAAATATTAAATAGTATTAATCTGCAATTTATTACATTAATACATTTCTAAGTTTTAATGTGCTTGTTTATGATATTATATAGTTTATACACTTCATATTACTCTGCTTATTTTCCAGCGATCATTTTCCAAATCACACACCGCCCTCTATGAGTAAGGGTGATGAACAGTCAGCCCTTACAAGAATTTTAAACCAGGCAGCAAGGTGAGTTGTAGTGTATACAAAATATACCTATTACCGCTGATATCTGGAGGAAATAAAAACAAATAGGAGTAAAGCAAGGAAGCTTTCATATTGCGATACCGTAGGATGTAATGGCACATGTGTGATGTTGTGCATTGTGAGGACTGCATTAAACATTGGTGTGTCAGTTTCTTTTTTTGTGACATATGTTTTGTAATTACTGGATAAGCGTGGTAAGTATTTAAGTTTACTTTACCAGGCTCTCCCATCCAGCTGTCTTGATTGCCAATAAAGATTAAGAATATACACGTCGTAAAACTTTAAAATTGGTTTACAGTAGAACATAGAAAGCAACAACATTTACAGATTAGTGAATTTGTTTTATATTCTTCTTCTACGTTCTCATTCAAAAGCTCTATATTTATTATATGGTGTTGTATTATTTTTGAAAAGCTGCCATTTTACAATGGCAATGTTTTATTAATAATAACAATGGCATCTTGGAAGGCGCACTTATCCATCTCAGAGAGCTGCTCGTGGCGCCATTTCCACTTGCAAAAACAAACACATTTTCTGCATTTTATTAATTATATTTATAAATGTTAATTATGTTACTTACTCATCAGCAATATCATAGATGTGGCAGCAATCGACTCGCATTCAATGGAGACGCACGAGTACATGGATAAAGCAAGACATTATAGGTAAATATTCAGATGAATGGATGGATTTTTACACCAAGGATAACCCACAAAAGTCTGAAGACATATTTCCTGTGGGGTCCTTCTGGAGGTGATTGGTAATTACACCGGGAGGCAACCCCACTTTTTTCCAAAGAGTGTACTGCATTAATTAATGTGTACACGGGACGCTATCGTAACTTGCATTTCTGTTGAAATACAAGTTTCACAAAGCAAATTGTTGTGCTTTCCATTAATTAACGATCCATTAAGTTGAACAATTATTCAATGCAGTTCAACTGTAGATGTGCAAAGAAAGCTCTTAAACAACTTGCGACCCCTGGTACAGAAAACATGTTACTTTTACATTGGTTTCTTAAAACTTATGAATTTTAGTTCCAGATTAGCAATGGTTAGCAGTGGGCCAAAGAGAGAATACGCTTCAAAAGTTGCGTTACCCAACGGTGTCGGAGTTCCACATTCAGTATTGTCAGCAGATCCAGTGACTTTGGCAGATATTGACATGGTAAATAGCGCCCCCTAACAAGCATCTCAATAAATTAAATTGTGGTGCTATGGAATTGAATGGATATTATTTTTTTTTCAAATGGAGAGAAAATTATATTCAAATTTAAGTCTGTGAGTGCCATAATCATAACTTTTCTTACCTCAGCTTAAATTACGATGTTGGGCTACTACTGTATAGTAGAATCTATATTTGGAGGCACCAGCTAATTTCTTTAGGTAAAAGTGAGCGAATTGACATACAAAAAAAAAATTTGGATGTGTAGTAAATTTTTTTAATTGTGTAGTTCAATTTTTCTTGACATTTACCTGTTTGTTTTAATTTTCAGATTTCTCAAGCAGTTAAGAAGGCTTCAGAAGCAATTTCAAATCTAAAAGTAGAACACAAAGAAGATTTAGTTGTACAATTTGCTCTTCCTAGTTAAGACCATGTGGTATAACCGATGAATTGTACCAATAAAGAATTAAAAAATAAATTCTGGAAATTAACAAGTAATGGAGGGAGTGAATACTTTCTTATGAGTGAAAAATTGCCAACATTGTTCAAAATGGTTTTTTTTATTACTTACTGCCTATTGTATACCTGGGGATTTTCAGTTTCCGTTTTAAAACTTGTTTTCAATTTATTGTTTATAAAATTAAATTCCCTACAAAAAAATTTGAATATTAATTGTATGCTGGTTCTATTACCATTAGTTTATGTAAATAAATCAATTAATTAGGAGCAATCATGTTAGGCTCCGAAAATTAAATATCTATGATGTATAGCTTCTGTATTAGTATCAATATCTAAGACCAGTTTAAACCAGGAGTGGCGCTCAAAATCTTGAAAGTGGTCCTGAAGGCAAAGCCCCAGAAATTGACATTTTAGGATCTACTAATAAGTTAAAAATACCTATACAGTATATTTTTCTTTCTCCCCAACAAGGATTAAAAATATTGACTCTCCTAGTTTAAACTCATGGAATATCATTGTATTGTAACATTAAATATTTTCAATAATACCTCTTGGCAAAAAAAATCAGAAAGACACTTGACCCTCAAGGATTTTTGGGAGGAGCACCAAAAAGTTGAGCCAGGCGCTCGCAACGGATCGTTTTTAATGACGATCCATGCAGACGGTGTCGTGCCCTCTAGCACTCACAGGGAACGAAGTTTGATTCGTTGTGAGACAGTCGTGAAGTGAGGGTATTCATTTTGATTAGATATACAGATTTTTTTTTTTTTTTTCATTATTAGAACTGTAGATAGGGCATAGAAAAATGTAGGTGTTTTCAACCGAAGTTCACTAGTAAATCAATTGGGGAATTGCAGTACAGGTGCCTATTGTCTGAAATACATTTGTGTTGTCCAAGAACTGTAGCAGAGTATAAATAGAACAAGAGAGTGTACTCCTAGTGTAGGCTGCCCGCTGTCATTTGTGTGTTCTTTATTACCCAGTACTGCATTGCGCACAGTGCAGTATTTGGTGTCTTACACTGGCTGCGTATTGCCAGTGTTTTTTACGCTCCCAATGAGCGAGGTTGGCTCTCTTATTCTATTTATACTCCGACTGTAGCCAATATCATGAATTATTTATTTATGTTCCTTAAAAGAAAGAATATTACACCTCCGTAAAAAGCAATGCTAGATTTTTGATTGGCCAGTTTGGATAACACAATTTTGTTTTGGTCCAAGTATCAATTGTAGATATTGCAGCCCCAGTTTGAGCAATAAAATTTTGTAAGAACACATTTTTGTCATCTGGTTATTTTGGCAATTGTTGATAGTGCACATATCCAGAAATCTACTCAAGGTGCTTTTTCCCTGGTTATTGGATAAAGAATCAATTGTACACACGGTGCAGGTGCAGCTCGGTACTATTACTTTTATTCTCGGAATCTTCCACTTCCTACCAGGTAACTGGAAAGAAGGACCAAGCTGGCCACATCCCCCTTTTGGAAAGTAAAGAAAAATAAATAATTGATCTAGAAAACCAAAATTTTGCAGGGGCACTGCCCCAGATCACCTAAGCCCCCACTTTTTTTTTTTGGGGGGGGGGCCCCTTTTAAACCTCTTTTAAACTGCCTTTCATACCTTTTATGTGAAGAGAGGCAAATGCAGATAGTGAAAAGCACTGGTGTGAACTAGCTCAGTAAGTTTATTCTCCCCTAAGGGTCACTTTGTGTCCGAGCTATCTGGTAAACCAGCATATACATATGTGGCAAAGACAAGCCAAACCAGTCACTCGTCGCAAAAACCAATTTTGAGTTATTAATAAAGTGCTAGAGAGTAAAATAATAGCTATAAAATGGTAAAAAAAATCATTCAAATCGGACACTTCCTTATGAGTTACACAGCTGTTTAAAGAACAATATATGAGAAATCAGCCTTCAAAGTTTATGATTTCAGGCATTTCACATGCAGAAACTATCTTTAAATCCTTAAAAAGTGTTGTTTTAACATTGAAACTGGGGAAAATAACAGCATAGAATGATGTATAAAAGTTAGTTTAGTGCAATAAAATAGATTTTTAAAAATTTGACATTCCAGCATGTTTTGGCCGGTTTGGCTTGTCTTTGCCACATATATGGCACTATTTCATGAAGAAAAGCGCACTGGAAGCATAGAATAATTATGAAATAACTCATTTTCTAACTTTCTTCTCCCCTAAGGGTATCTTCGTGTCTGAGCTGCCATGCAAACCACTATAAGCTACTATTGTCTGTCCACAACAGGGGCTGTATGGACCACCACACTGGGGTAACACTGACTCCTATGGTTTATAGTCCAAAAAACTTGTTCCACCTTCAGAATTATAGGCAAGCGTGCTGTTCAAACCAGCTACAATCATATGCTTGTAAATACAGGGACTGTGGATGGACCAATACACAAAGGTAGCCCGCATACTCTATGATCAGATGACACAATTTAGCTGTAGCCATTAACTCAGTTCACCATCTACAGTCACATGACTATTAAAAATATTTAACTGGAGCCAGGTGACTCTAAACACTACCTCCAACAGTTGCATGCACATCAGAAAGGCCTAACTATAACACTGCTCATCTCAGTTTAATGAATATTATAAACACTTACCTGAAGCTAGTTGACCCATTGAAAATGGACAACTGGAGCCAATATTAATATCATAAATGCTTACTTGAAGCAGCAGACCATTCATGTGGCTTACTTCTAGTTCGGCGACCATTCAAAATGCTTAGTTGGAGCCGGTTGTCCCCCGTACTGTCATGTGAATATTATGAATGCTTACCTAAATTTGACAACTCGCATGCCTTAATCCCAGTCACATAACCATTAAATACTTACCTGGTGTCTGTTGACCATCAATATTGCTCACAAACAAACATAATTTTCTTTTCTCAATTTAGCCTTGTTAAGATAAAAAAAAAACATCAACATTAAGGTACCAGCACACATTAATAACATTTTAAGTGTAAATTTTAGATATAATTTACCTGCTCACCTAAAATATTTCAAATTTCTTTTCTAGTCCTCTTTCATGGAACCTCCAGATATCAGAATGGTAGTCTTCTTTCATGGAGTCTCCAGATAATCAGAGTGGTAGTCTTCTTCCACGGTGTCTCCAGATATCAGATTGATAGTCTTCTTCTGTGGAGTCTCTGGCTTCTTCACCAATACAATTTGGCAACTACTGTATCAAATCTCTTTTGTTCATGTTTTTTTTTTTTTTTTGCTTTCCAATTTCTTTTTTCTTTTTTCATCAATGAGTATGCAATATAATGTTTAATCTTTTGTTTTATCCATGGTGAATTTTTTTATATTTTTTTGTTGTTGATGGAAAGCATTCCTTATTCTTTTCATACTCATGTTAATCCAAGTCTTACTTCATATTCAATGAGACTTTTGTCTCCATGATAATTACAATAAAACAAAACATGCTTAGAATATCAATCAAAAAGTTATATCTAGCGTAAATGATTCAATAAACCCTGTGGCTCTTGTGAGGTGTCGTGACAAAATGAGTCTTGTGATACAAATATAAATTGATAAGCTTTATGTTGAGTTTTATGGTTTCTAGGTTGAGTACAACTGGAGTGATATCATTTGTAAGTTCAGATGTCTAAAAACATACTTAAGATAAACTGATCAATTTCATGTTGGTATTCCTATAAATTTCGTAAAATACTGTGGATTAAAAAACTGTGCATCGAAATCACCTTTACATTAGGCAATTCACCTCAGTACTATTGCTACTATGAAACATATATTTTAAAGTTATCATAAACATTGAAACTCAATTTTTTTTTTAATCACTCCAGGTATGTCTCCTAATATATATCAAATTGACCTGGCTTACGACAGGACTCCTTTTGTCATGATACCTCACTTATGTAAATGAGCATTTTCATGGTGCCTTTCCTTTCTGTTACAGATAATTTTTTCATTGCAGATCATTGGATCCATTTAATTTGAAATTAAATAATAATAATAATAATAATAATTTAAAATGATTGTATTGGAGTTTTCCTTGTTACTCTTGATAACATGTATCATACATAGTCCAAGGGAAATTAAACACTCATTCACAATAGAATATTTTTCTAATTTAGCATGGCTCTTATTGGAGAACAGCACTTATTTCATCATTTACGGTAAACACACTCTGTAGTGAGTTTTTAATTAATACATCCTTATTATATGTACATTCTAAAAAGATAGTGCAATAATGAACCCTAAGTATAAAATACACATGCTCTTAAACAAGTTACAAAAAAGAAAAAGCTCTGTATTTCACCCTCAAGATTTTACAATCAAACATTGACATCACATCATGACCATATATGTGGCAAAGACAACCAACCCAGTCACTTGTTGCAAAAATCTATTTTTAGTTATTAATACATGGTTAAACATTAAAATAAGGGCTAACAAATGGTAAAAGAATAATTTAAACCCGACATTTCATCATGAACAGGCGTTTAAACATACAGTGGTTTAAAGAACAATATTTGAGAAATCAGCCTTAAAAGTTTATGATTTGGGTATTTCTCAGACAGACACCATCACCAAATCATTAAAAATTGTTGTTTTAACATTGAAAATGGGATATATAAAGGTTAATTTAGTGTAGTAAAATTGATTTCAACAATGTTGACATTCCAGCATGGCCATTACCTGGGAAAGAGGATTTGCGAAAAATGACTGGTTTGGTTTTCTTTGCCACATATAGGCACATTATGACTATATATGGGCATACAACAGTTTTTGTAAAATAAAATATAGTCTGGACAAGACCTTCTCCATTACCTTCTCATTTAAAGACCTACAGTACCACCGGCTTCATCATGTGGTATGTAAAGAAGAATATATTTAGTATCAAGTGCCTTCTTGTTCTTTTTAATTAAAAACATTCTAAGTGGATAACCCTTACGGTTAGGCAGATTTTAGTGGTCAAATAAGGCACCTGGTCTCAAAAAATTATTCCATCATGTCTGAACCAACCTCATTAGATTTTTAAAGTTCATTTTTATTAAATAAAAAGAAAATTAATTCACTAAAAGTGCAGGCTGTATAGCACCAATAGGCTCTGTCCACACACTACCAAATATGTCACAAATAACATTGACATGTGCTAGCGGGGGTACAGGGGACCTCTAAACCCCCGCTTGGACCCCCTGTCGAGGAATTTCCAGCAAGGTCGTCAGGGAAAAATGAAATCTTGACCGCCGAAAGTACAATTTAGGTATGCTTGACTAATCTGTCAAATTTTAGGGATTAAAAACTGTTAAGTGCGAGCAGTACTACAGTATGTGCGAGGTGTTGTACGCTATCGCGATCGTATGGGTTGCGGTGGTAGCGCCAGATCTTCCCCAACAGGGGGATGGTACCTCCGACTTGTGGTTATTACCCTCGAAAGGCAGCATCTTAACTTGCATGGTTTTCTATCAAGTTACCTTTTTTAAATAAAGCATACCATAATCAACAATATTTCCCCAGGGGGATGTGTGTGGCCCTTGTCGGGAACTGGACCCTTCACCTGGGAATTTCTGGCACCACCCCCGACATACCCATAGTTGGGTGAAATATGACATCATCTTGCCAATACACACAAGCTTGTGACATAACATTTGATAGTCTGGACAGAGGTTTAACACATTTCATTAAAGTTTACATTTCTAAAGCTCGTCCACACTATCAAATTTTCTTTGACAAAAAACTGTTGTATGCCCATGTATAGTCGTAATGTGCCTATATATGGTCATGATGTGATGTCATCATGACCATATTTAGGCATGTCACATGTTTTTGTAAATTAAAATGTGTTAGTCTGGACAGGGCTTAAATGACATCATCCAATGCATCTTTAAAACATTTAACATGTGTTGTATATTGTCCTATGCTTCTTTAAAGCATTTAGCATACATGCTCATGTCGCATACATGCTCATGTTCACTAACTCCATCCACATTCTTCATCATCTTTGTCGTCTTCTTTTTCATCTCCTCCATCCACGACTTTCTTCATCATCTTCCTCATCTTCTTCGTCATCTCCTATCAACAGGTCATCATTCAGCACTTCATTATCCTGAAATGAAAAATTAGAATGAAATGTTTAAGTTTTTAATATACTTTAAATCCATTTATTCCAACTGATAGTAGTGTTTATAAAAAAAATTAATAATAATAATAAAAATAATAATAATTTAAATAAATTGGACTTATTTCCCCTTAAGACAGGTTTTAGATATATAATAATAAAAATAATAATAATCATAACAACAATAACAATAATAATAATAATAACAATAATAATATGATAAATAATAATGAGCAATAATAATATAATATGAGCTATATACTAAGCAACGCCATCTGCTGATTGTCAGTGGAAGTCTGAACAGATCATCATTAAAACTGATCTGTTGCATGCGCATCCTCGCGTTACGTTCTTCACAGAACTGCGTCGGCCTACAACCATTGGGTACAATAAGTGCCTGGCTTAAGGCACTGTGCATGTTTTGAGTTTGGTAATCACCTTGCTCTGCCAGACTTTCTATTTGAAGGCATAGGGGCCATAGGTCCATTGTATAAACTATGTATCATTACTTATAAAATGTTGTGTGTTACGTACCTCATCGTCGGGTTGACGGGTGTTTGCTAGACTGTTGTCGTTGTCGTCTTCATTCATTATCACAACCTCAGGAGCTGGTTTGTGCCATGCCATCTTCAGTATTGTGTCTTTGAACTGTTGACCTTTGCTGGCAGCCTAATGAATATGCATAAAATTGAGATTTTCAGCCTAATGAATATGCATGAGATTTGAGGCATATTTCCTTTAAAAGTTTTATAGGTTTAACAAATTATTTATATATGAATGCGAGTCAAGATTATGATTTAACTTAAACAAATAAAACTGTGCTTTTCACATAATATTGAAAATATGCTTAAAACTGTTCAATCAATTATAGTGACCAATTGGCGCTGAAGCAGGTTGGGTTTCAAAAATTCAGTATTTGACCAAGTATTGAAAAGAAAACAACCTCAACATTCACAGACATATTCGATAAAAAAGACTAATACATCCTTCATTTGTTGCTAGATGTGTGATATCACACGATATCAGATAAAAAAAAAAGTTATGACACAAATTACTCACTAATTCTGCCTCCATTCTTGTTTGGTATCCTATGATAAGACTGTTGTTTGCATTATTATATTCAATTTTTTCTAGTTCTCCATAAGCCTACAAAAAATAATTATTTAAATGTAAATGTATACGCAATCTTTGTTGAAAATCAACATAAAAATTTTGATTATGCCTCTGGAAAACTTTGGTGGCCCAGTGAAGTGCCTACCATTGCCAGATTGCCAGTGTAATGAGACGATCCCCTCCTCCTATTAAACAGTGCACCGCACCAAGATCTTTTTCATGAACATGTGCTACTACTATGCACACGGAAACCAACCGATTAATCTCCCAGCCAATGGATGGCATCAGCAGGCTTTAATTAAGGACCTAATCATTACTGCCACCCTCTGCCAGGAGCAGTGGTAGCGGTGAGTCCGGAGGGGAAAAGGACCCTCGCCGGGGACTCTGGATCCCTGCTTGGACACCCTGTCAGGGAATTTCCAGCAAGTTTGTCGGGGAAAAATCAAATTTCAAGCCCCGAAAGTACAATTCATGCAGTTTTAAATGTTAGGGATTAAAAACTGTTTAGTGCGAGCAGTGTTACTATATGTGCGAGGTGTTGTATACTATCGTAGTCTTGTGGGTTGCAGTGGTGACGCCATTTTTTCCCCAACAGGGAGATGGTACCTCTGACAGGGGGGCTAGTACCCCCGACTGGGGTGGGGCTAGGTTTTCTCGAAGGGGAAGGGGTGTGGACACCTTGTCGGGGATCTTAGACCCCTCATCATGGAATTCCTGGCGCCGTCCCTGCCCTCTGCTGCGGAGGTATTCACTGCAGAGTAAAAGAATTAAATTGAGTGAATAAATAAATGTTGAATTGATTAATTGAGAACTGAAATCAAGTAGACTTACAGCAAAATGGGTGATAACTTCGTCTTTATCAGATTCCAGAAAGCCACTAACTATCAATTCCCTTGGCCTTTTATCAAGTATAGTATTTGTCTTATGATGGTTGCCGCGACCTCTTTTGTACGAACCACGCCCACGACCCCTGCCTTTCATAATACTACCACGCCCTCTGCCAGATGATAGTAATCCTAAAGATCGGGCCTTTAAAAGAAAACAAATATTAATTTTAAATAATAAGGTGGCCATGGTAGAAGCATCCTCGTCGCAGCCCTGGTTAATGCCAATTCTACCACCACCACACAGTGGACATAAAAGAAGATGATTTAAATAATTATATTGCATAATGGTCAAAGGTCTATTGTTATGCATTGCTTAGAAAAACTCTCTCAAGTCATTTTAAGTTGCTAAAAAACTACAACAAAAAAATGTTGAACAGCTGCAAAGGGTAGGATAAAACACACAATTTTGAAAGAACTAAATGAATTATTGTGCAACACAACAGATACAATATTAGAGCATATTTTAATAATGTTTTTGTTTTAGAATTAAGTTTTACCTCTAATTTTAACTGAGCTACTCTCTTCTTGAGTTGACTTGTGTCTCCGCCTTCTGCTTGTTGGTTGTAAAGCTCCAGCTCTGTGTCTAACAACTCTTTCTGAGTCTAAATCAATCAAACATAATTAAAACAATTTACCAGATTAATTAGTACACTAATACTAATCAAGCTACAAAGATAACAAAAAAAAATACAAAGATGATAATAGTTATGTTGATGAAGGTGATGATGATGGGTGGTTGTACAGGGTACACTTTTATAGATCCCTGCTCAGCGATGAGGGCATATCCCCATACTGCTGGCTTGGATTTTCTTTTTTTTATTTTCCAGTTACATCTGCTCACTTGTTCTGAGCATAGAGACTCTCGTATTTTGCGCAATATAAATGAATAACCTTTAACCTTTGTAATTACAGTAGTAATGAAGATGAATGCGGTGATGATAAGAAAGACGATGGTGATGATCAAATGATGATACAGCACAGTATTTAAATTCAATATATCCACACTTTGCCTTCACATTTAATAATAACTTTACAATTTTCAAATACTTTACCGATGATGCAGTCTTTGGTTTTGATACAATTTCAGATTTGGTTTTGTCGATTTGTTTATTAAGTGCTTTCATTGATTCCAAAATGCTTGACTTCACTTCAGTACTTAGACCTTTCCCCTTTTCCAGTTTCTGAATCAACAACTTTGGTTTAAAAAAATGAAAAAAACCAAAAATTAATGCATTATTATGAATAAATTTAGTAAAAAAGTTATTTTCAATACTGCGCACATTCTTGTACAAGCATTTATATTGCAGCTTTTCCTTTCGGTTATGAAGCACATGCCAAATCTCCAAGCTTAGGAAAAAACTCAAGGCAGAATGTAATACAGGTCCATCAAAACAGAAATCACAAGCATCACAATTAACAAAAGCAAAACACACAACTGACACAACATTAAGAAAAATAATAAGAATAGTAAGTACTAGGCAAATAAGTGAGTTTGAAACCTCAAAATTTAGCGACAGTGAGCTGGTATTGGCATAGCAAGCCTCATATGTATCGCAGCTAAAATTATCTCCACATTTCTTTAAAAACTTTTATAAACCATCATTCCAATTAATGAGTGATCTTGATGTGTTGCATGTGAAGGAAATAATAAATAACCACAATTTAGGGCCTACCTTTTGTTCTTGAATCTGTTTTGTGAGAAGTTGTTGCTTTTGTCTGGCAATGCTGTTCCTCTTCTCCATGGCTTCCTTTTGTTTCCTTAACCTAACAGCTTCTTTTGCTGATGCAAGTTCCTGCTTAGCTTGTGCTAACTTAAGTGCAGCCTGATTCTGACTGGATTGTACGGCATTTGGATTGTATAGAGTCTTTGATAAATTTATGCCTGATTTTTTGACAATTGTCTACAAAACCAAAAGAAAACCCCATGTTAATAAAATGTTATTTACTATGTGATATTAAACGGTTCTATCCATTCAAAATTTTAAATTTTATTCTTTTTATTAACTTTTCTTTTAAAGTAAATCATTATTAAGCCACGCAGCTCATATGAGCAGAAGCTTTCTCCAGTTTCAAGTTGTGTGAAGCGGATAAGTTTGTGATGCTTCCCCGTTGGTGGGACGCTGGTCCACCGCAGGTTACCCCCAGCAATTTGCTAGTACACATTGATAGAGCTAGGTACTGAGGTAATGCAGGTAAAGCGCTTTGCTCAATGGAAGAAGCAAAATGTACAGTGAATGATTAATAATCAACCTCGAGGTTGGGAAACCAAACAATTTCCCCTGCGTTAAACTGTCTTACATAGCTTATATTATATTTTTCTGGTTTATATTATTGTACCTTTTCTGTATTATCTGGTTTCTTCTTGTTGATTGACAGCTGATCTTTAGATGGAATGATGATTCGTTCTCTGACAGATGACTTGTTTGCTTCTTTACTACTATCACCTGATGTATTACCATCCTTTAAATAAAAAAATTCAAAGTTACAAACAAAAAACAATTTGAATGAAATTATAATTAAATTAGAAATCAACAATAATATTCATAGAAATGTGTCATCGATGTTATGTATCGTGGGTTACATCTGTAGTGTGGGAGGTGGAGCGATATGATATTTTGGAATAAACAAATTTTTTTTCTTGCCTTGACAACAAGAGGTCGCCGGTTCGAATCCCATCAGAGGCATTTTATTAGACAATGTATTTATTTACAGGACATTTGTTTAGAGCTATGCTACATCATACATCGTGTAGCATAGCTCTTAACGAATGTAGTCCTATAAATGACTAAAATTTAAATATACATATGTGTGTGTGTGTATATATATATATATATTTTTATTCATTCATTTATTTGTGGTATAAAATGTACAATAAGCAGCCAGATAGATGTGTATAAGAGACAGCACGGAACCAACCGATTAATCTCCCAGTGATGGATAACCTGAGAATCTTCCTTGTTGTGCCAATAGACTTTGATAAACCTGTTGTTGAGGACAGCTTCGGTACATCCAATGGCACTTCGAGCTTGTGCGCTAGTAGCAAACGTAATCAAAGCTGCCGTTGGGTCACCATCAAATGCAACCTGTAATTAAATAAATGTAAGAGGAGTTAAATCACTACAAAATGTCATTCTTTTTCTCTACTCTTAATGTAATCAAAGTTGCCATTGGGTCACCATCAAATGTAACCTCTAATTAAATAAATGAGGGTTTAAATCATTATAAAATGTCATTCTGTTTCCCTACTCTTAATTTAAACATTAAAAGCACATTTCAAACCATCAAATTTGTTATATAATACACAAAATTATAAACTGAATTAAACAAACCATTTTTTAAATGAAAATTTGTAAATTGATTACTGGATAATTTAAGGACAATTTATTTATTTATTAAACCATATTTCACGAGGGTAGCACATCCAGCAAATCTGATCATTTGGGGGCCCTCGCATACATTAAAATACAATAAAATTTGATAAAACAAAACAACTAAGAAACATGTATAAAACAGCATAAAAAGATTTATATACGAAAGATTCACAAAATAGACAATGGATAAAATTTTAAGTAAACATAAATAATGGTAATATTTATGCATGTATTATTAAAATTAATTCAAAATTCAAGCTAATTATAACTTACAATACTAATTTTATTCAAGACAATCAGAATATTTAAGTAACAACTACAATCATTGTGAAAGTCTCTATGTAATTTCAATAATTTTTATAAACAACATTCTTATAATGTGAAAAATCTCTTGAAGTATTTTGATGTGATTTGGGACTTGTGTGTACTGCTTCAATTGTGATTTTTGTATTGGTAGGAATTAAAGAGTGATATTGTCTGTATTCTATATTGTTGTTATGGTATGTTGATCATTATGTGGGTGACAATAGAATTAGGTAGAATTACTTAACTACATAGGTCCTTTGATGGGATGCAAGTGTTCCTAAAATCAGCTGCATACACAGTTCTTTGGGTAATATCAAGTTACAATAAATAGGGACTAGATAACTTAGTTTTCAGTAGTTAGTGTCCCAAGAGGGTTGCAGACAATAAAACTCTCACCTGAAGGTTAACTATTGTCCCAAATTTCTCAAAATGTTGACTTAATTTTGAAATAGTGTTCAAGTTTCTTGGCACTTTCCTAATCACAAGACATGAATTGTCACGGTTTGTAAAACGTGGCTTCTTCCAACCCAATCGTGATTTAACATCTTGGACAGTGCGGTTCTCACTCTGTTGTTCCAATCTATTTTTATTTGCCAGATCTGATTCATTGAAGGTTCGTTTTCTGTTATCTGGAATGGTTTGTATGACTTGCCGAGTGGACTGCGTTTGTTGAGAAGTATCTGAAGAATGTGTATCTATAACGGTTCTCGTATTTGAGTGATTAACAGGAGGTGAAGGTGTTGTATCCAACCGATTCTCAAGTTCCTCCAATTCTGAAAAAGTCAAAATAGGCCATTAGGAAATGCGTCTTAAGAAAAAATAATCTTTATCTTCAATAATAGTAACAAAATGTGGTACCTTTAGGCGTTGCCATAGGAACTGTCTGCACACCTATCAATTCTCGAGAGCGGGCAACATAGCCTGGCTTTTTCTGTCCACTATCAAGTCCAGGATCCTCCGGGTTATAACCATCTGGCTCATATTGTTCTACATACAAAATAGAATTTTTGCTTTAAGACTTAATTTACATGTAGACAACTGATCAATCATTGTCTAGTGAAATACTGTAAATGCTTGAATAAGCACGGCTCTCAAATAAGCACCACGCAAAACCTAATTTTTTAAGCTCTATCCACACTTTCAAATTTTCTTCGACAAAAAAATGTGACAAGCCCATATATAGTAATGCTATGCCTATATATGGTCATGGTGTGATGTCATCATGCCCATATATGGTCATATCACACTTTTTTGTCACACAAAATTTGATAGTGTAGACAGAGCTTTAAACTAAGCATTGCTCTTCAATAAGCGCCGCAGTGCATAATCAAGAGTATTATACTACCCTGTGTGTAATTAAACACCTAGAGAAACATGGTTTTAAATACAATGTATACAGTGTTAAAATAAATAAATAACACAATGAAGACACAAGAATTTCTCAATAAACAATTACTTACGACGATGTAAGACTTATAGTAGGCCTACTGAACTGCAGGAATACATGAGCTTACATTGGATATGGCCATAGAAAGCGCCACCCCAATATTTTTTTATAAGCGCTGCTCTCGATTAAGCCCCACACTGAAGCCTCCAAAATTTGTACAAGTGCCGAGGCACTTATTCAAGCATTTATGGTACTATTAAAATGTGAGATCATTTCATTAGGAAAAAAACTAATAAAATTGAACACTAGATTGTTATCATACCTCTTTGCGTGGCAGGTTGTGGTATTTGTGGGGGCGGCAGACGCATTATTCCAGGATGTGTTGCCAATGGTGGAATGCCGGGTCCTGACCTCATATTCGGTGGAGGGCCTACCGGTAGATTTGGTGGAGGAAATCGATGCAAATCTGGAGGCACACCAGGGAGTGGTCTCAGCATTGGTCCTGGTGGGGGAGGAATCCTAGGAGGAGGTAAACCCAATGGTTGTCTTGGTAGACCCAGGGGAGGATGAGGGGGAATTTGAGGGGGAATTTGAGGGGGAGGAGGCTGCTGGGGAGGAGGCTGTGATGGCAATGGTGGAGGAGGTATAGATGGTGAGCCAATAGACAACATGTTAGGTAAATTGAGGTCATCCACAATGACAGGGTCGTTGCCATGGTCATAAGGGCAGAGTTCACCTCGCATACAGAATCCTTTCTCTGCAAAAGAAAAAATTCATCATAACTAATGATAAAATAAATAATAACTAAATTATTTTGCATAAAACTTTCATATTTTAGTACAACCTGAATTGAAAAAACAACAGATTTTATTTCAGTTGGGTTGCATTTTATGAATATAAATGTTTTCTATTTGTTGAAAAAAAGTAAATTAAAATATATAATAATGCCCATATGCATATCTATGCATTAATTCAGGATCAAAATTCACAGAATAACAGTTTACTAGTTACATGATTGTTAGATGTGGGTTCTTTTCATTAACATCACACCATACGCAATTCTTAGTTGTAACTTACCGTCGTAGTCCCGACACCGTGGCTTTAGATTCTGATGCAATAGACGATCATGATTGCTTCTATTGTTACCACGCTGTGCGCCCCTATTGCGTCCTCTTCCACGAAAGCCTCCTCTACTTTGTGGTCTGTTATTGCCGGATCCGCTTCCAATACTTGTGACAACGCTGATGGCGCTTGGCATGTTACTCAGATGGTCCGGAGAATCCATGTGCTGGTTGTTTGCCGATTGGTCTTGGTTCCTATAATCATCTCGACCTCTTCCTGAAAAATACATAATTCAATTGTTAAATGCTGCCACTAAAAAAATGCCAGTTATTACATGAAATTCTGCACATTTTTAGTGAAATGGCTGCACTCTAAATTGGCATGGCTCTGCTCAGTAGTAAAGTATGTAGGTAGGTGGAGAATCACAGCATCATTTTGCTGAATTAGTACGTGAGTGGTCTATGACTACCTAGTAGGAGTAAAGAGGCACTTATAGAAGCTACATGTTCATCAGGATCAGGGTAACCCCTTACACTTCCGAAAGATGCAATGAATTTTTAAAGTGCACACAAGCTAGATGTGTACACAGGACCTCCATTTCAAGTTGTTACCTGAGAAGACTTGGTTCTACCAGATAAATCATGGGCGAGGAGCAGCTCGAATCAGCGCCAATGTTAAAGCTGTTTCTAGAATAATGCCCTGTGAACACACAAGCTAGATGTGTACACTGAACCTCCATTTCAAGTTCTTACTTAAGAAGACTTGGTTCTACCAGATAAACCATGGGCAAGGAGCGGCTCAAAATAGCGCCAATGTTAAAGCTGTATCTAGCGGTGCTCCTACCTTACTGCTCGCCCACTTGACTCGTAAGACTGACATTTAATGAGAGTCTAAGCTTGACCGCTAGTAGTCCTTCGGTATGGTGAGTGTGAATTCACACCAAAATGTTTGTAAATATACCACTTTCAGTGGTACATTCACAAACTAACAATAGTGTAACATGCCTAAATAAGCTAATGATGACATCACATTCTGACCATGTATAGGCATATAATGACTATATATGGGCATACAACAGTTTTTTGTCAAATAGAATTTGATAATCTGGACAGAGATTACCATGCGAATAATGCCATGTGAGTAATGCCCTGTGAATAATGCACAGTGAATAATGCCCTGTGAGTAATGCCCTGTGAATAATGCCTAATGTTAACATCTGATGTCAATGTCCCTTCAAGTTTGACATTTCCCTATGGTATAGCATAGGGATATGTTGATTTCTTAAGGTATTTGTCTACTGTAGGTCTCAATGCACTCACTGCAAAGTATTAATACAACTCTACAACAGAATAGCTGAGACCAGAGTAACTGATGTGATTATTCCATTTCCTGTGTTTCTATTGTGTAAATCACCTAGGGGCATTGTTTTGTATTAAACACTCTATAAGACCATGGAGGTATTATTGAGAAGGAGATCACTCGAAAAAGCTACGCGCATGCAGCGCTATGCAAATGAACCAAGATCAAAGCTGCCGCAGCGCGTGAAGAAGTTTGCGCGATGCCTTTGAAGTCCCATGTGTTCCCCGCCATCAAATTTTCAGCAGGCATAGTTTACCAAAAAATTGAACATGGCGAAATGGAGAGCACCTTGTCTTCTCGATGCGCACTACATACAGTCAATCACTATGGCTGCGCAATCATTTCCATTTTGAAGCTGATGCATTTATCTCTCATAAAATATCAAACATATTAATTTTTTCTACCAAAAAAAGTTTCGAATTTAATGGAACATTTACATGACCTTTAAAAGTATAGCATATTTCAACTTCAATTTCCATAAATTGGCCAAAATTCGCTAATTCTAATTTTAACAGATATTAATTAATAAATGATTGAGGATTATAATAAATTAAATCATTTTAGGGTTAACGAGGGTTAATTATTCGAAAAATCAATCCAAAATCTGAGTATTTTTCAGTTTTACGCTGACTTAGCTTTATAGTCGAACTAATCAATCTTTAGACAAAATTATAATGAACACAAAAGTAATTTTAACATAAATATTTTACGGAATCCGTTCCTGAAATATACAAATAACATCATATTAAAAGTCCGAAAAAAATCTAATCAGGGGAACACTGTTCACTATAAAGATATTTAATGGGTTAAAATCAAACGCTTTATTGCACAACTGCTCTGCTGGAAGCGTATAAATGCATGTCGTTGCCAAGTTGTTGCCAACGAAAAAAATGTGAATTATAGGGTAATACGCCCGCGCGCGATGCAGAAGCGGCGAACACATGGGTTTGTCACGTCAAAGGGAACTGTTGCCGAGTGATCTCCTTCTCAATAATACCTCCATGATAAGACTAACGTTATTATTACTTAAGCATACAATTCTTGATTACAATTTGTGATCCAGTGACGCAATGCTGATGCATTGCACAATGTTAGCATTACCTTTTGACATATCCCAACGTTCATAGTGCCTTTCTCCACCCCTTCGGCTAGAAGGCCTTCTATCATCTCTTCGCCTTCCCCTGTCCTCATCTCGAGTGTTAGGTCTTCTACGATCATCTCTGTTGCAGAATAACAATGTTGAATTTAAACTATTAATTTCTCGTATTTATGACTGTTTTATGATTTCTACATTCAATTGTTTAAGATTACAGTAAAGTAGCCGTTCGTAAATTTGGGTATTCGTAAAATTGGGGTTGACCCAAATTCCTATATATTTGCACTGATACTACTTACACTGGCATAAACTAGGCCTAGGCTAGGCCTACAGGCTTACGCAGCTAAGTATGAGGGGGCCTAGGCCTACAGTTGGCAGCTTCTAAGCATTCTGATCCCACTCTAGGCCCTGCACAAATTTGTTTTTATCGGACATTTTTACCTTCTTAAATACCTAGATCGTGGATTTTATTCCAACACAACTTCCATAGATACTTGTTTATTATATATCTTGATCATTCAATAAAACAATCAAGCACTATGTTGAATTTTAAAGCTGAAAACGATGTTTGAAAGAGAAGTAAAATTTGTCGCATGCACATGTGTGAATTTCACTGACTTTGAAGAGGCCCGTTAGAGGGCCTCCTTCACTTGAGAATTACATAGTACTGTATAGTATGGTGTGTTGTGTTGTATGCATGGTAATAACAGGTACAATTCGAGCGGGTTTTTTTTTTTTTTAAATCTTTCGCGTCAATTTTTATGACGTCATCACCTTTATATTAAGTTCGTAAAATCGGGAATTCGTAAAATCGGGGTTCGTAAATGAGGGGTTTTACTGTATTGATAAAATCAGGTATGAATGGTTATGGCCAAAAAACCAAACAAAAATAAACATTATCTTAAATTAATATTCTAAATTAAGACTATTGTAGAAATGTAAAACTCAAGTTTGTAACTACAGTAGGCAGGTTATAATTTATTAATAATTTTTGTTGAACTGAAAGTAGTCGGTTGTTTATGATTGTTTTGTTTCACTGTGCATATATCATTTTTGTTACTGTGATTTCCTTTGTACCATTTTGTTTTTCTTTCACATTCAACAACAAGTAACTAAACAATTACAGGAAGAAAGATGCTTACTGCTTACTACATATTCATGAGGCCAATGGAAGATTTTAGCAAGAAAGAAATAAAAAATGCTGTGATAAGGTTTGAACTTAGAACCCTGGTATTGGAATGAAAGGCAAGCATAATAATCAGCAACTATTCAGCTCTATTCCAATTTTCAGCTTTTTCCCTCGATGTTTTTGTATTATCGTAAGTATCATTTAATTCTGTCCTCGACTGCGATTTTGATATTGAATGAAGAAAGAAAGAAAAAAAAAAAATTCACAGCCTTGCTCAAAGGCACAACCGAAGTGAACAAGGCTTGTGGTTAAATAGAGTTTAATTATATTACAATGATATTTTATGATTCAACGTTACCTTGGACTTCTACTCCGGGGATAGACATGACAAGCCAAACACATAAGAAAAATTTAAACTGTGATATAGTTGTATGTATAAGAAATCAATAATAAATTGGAAAGTAACCAAATGGAACGAGAAGGTAATTGAAAGAAAAAAAATAAATAAATAAAAAAATAAATAAATAAAAATAAAATAAAATAAATAAATAAATATTCATTCATAATGTTAACCTGATTTCCCTCACTGTTGTAATCATTTTTCTTTTATTTTGATCCGGTTTTTCCTTTTATTGTAAAGCGCTTAGAGGTTTCTTGCATTTTGCGCTATATAAAGAATAAATTTATTATTATTATAAACACCCCTGCCTACTTTGATTTTTGGGAATGCTCAGTCACTCGGAAACAAGCTTGATTAAAGAATTGGAAGGATGTGTTAAACATGACCGGGACTTCTGAGAATCTTTGTTATTATGCTTTAGCAAGATGTGGCTCAATGGGAATTATTCCAATAAGGATGTTAACATCACTGGCTTATCTTGTGAGCGATTTGACAAGAACTCTGATTCTGGTAAATCACGAGGAGGTGGTGTGTGCGCTTTTATCAATAAACGGTGGTGCACAAACGTTAAAGTAAAAGAGAAATTATGTTCTCCGAATGTAGAATTACTTCTTCTCGGACTAAGACCTTTCTACCTTCCTCGAGAAATCCCCCAAATTCTTGTAATGATTGTATACGTTCATCCTAAAGCAGATTGTGATGTGGAAAGTAACAAAATTGCAGAAATTATGTCGAGGCATTATGCTAATTTGCCAGAAGCGTTTAAGCTAATTTTGGGAGATTTAAATAAACATAGTTTAAATAAAGAGCTACCCCATTGGTACCAGTATGTAAATGTACCAACTAGGGGAAGAAACACTCTTAATTTATGCTATGGAAATTTTCCAAATGCATATGCAAAAAATAGGAATGGAATTGGTACCTCAGACCACAACTTAGTGCAACTTATACCTTGGTACAAGCATAAGTGTAGAAGAGAAAAAGTTGAAACAAAACAAGTGAAATTTTGGACTACAGATGCTGTGCATGCCCTTTAGGAGTGCTTTGAAACAACAAATTGGGACTTGTTCAAGAGTTGTGGTTCACTGAATGAGGTGGATCTGAGAACACTTCTGGCACAGAAATATACAGCAATGAAACAGGGTGAAATTAATTATAAGAAAGAATTACGAGAAATAAAGAAGGCTATTGCAAAGGGTAAAAAAGAGTATGCTAAAAAAAATTGAAAAGAAATTCAAAAGTGGGGATATTAAACAAACTTGGAACGGAATGAAATACATTACAGTATACAATACAAAATCTTCTTCAGCGAGTTGCCATAATCATTTTTTAGCTGATGACCTAAACACATTTTACACAAGGTTTGATTGCATAAATTATGGGCGTCACACTTGATGATATATCTAGTCTTGGGGAGGAAGCTTTGTTCGCTAAATCCACACATACACTTCATATCACCTTTATTTTTTGTAATTCGGGTGGAATCACTCTTAATTTAATTGACTTTAAGTGCAATATGTAGTAAATAAATAAACCATAAATCTAATCCCTAATAATTTTATAATTTTTATATTTTTTAATGTTTTTTTTTTTAGGTGACTGTGTTTTCCATGTTTCGTATTTTCTTGTGCTTTTAATGTTACGGTAATGAGGAACCGAGACTCGCATTTTATTGTGATAATAAAGTATATCTGTATTTGTATCTGTATCTTTGAGCTTTAGATTTTGTGCAACATCATCATCTGCACAACTGCATCATTTAGTCGACACAAACTTAATGTTCTCAGATGCGCAATGATTTCTTAGTGACACCATTACGCCCTACCGTCATGGTGTAATCGAGGCGCCCTACTAAAGGTTGCAACTGTAACGAGGTGTCAAGTGGTTCATTCTCTGTTTTACCCCTAGCTGCTACTATATCATGGCATAAAAAATAAATAAAATAATTATATGTCACTGACATTATGCATTTGATTCCTGGCATAATTATTTAATTTCATATAAAATACACAAGTTAGCAAAAACATCAACAACAATATAAAAGTAAATTAAAGACTAAACTTCACGAAACAGATAAACTCCTAATCAGCTCCAGTACTGTATGCTTTGTGTGTGTATATGCTTTATATACTGCTACCTAGGTATAAAAAATACATGTTAATTTGATAACTACATTATTGCTGACAGCTCTGTAACTTTTACTCACCTCTTCTGAATCTCTTCTTTTTGTCGTACGTGGCAACAGACTGGTGGTAGGTTCTGTTGGTGTAGTAGGAGTAGTGGTAGGTGACAATTTCTTGACCGCTCCTACAGTGCTGGAGCAAGCCTCAGGGACCTGTTTAACTGTCTGCTCTATATAGGTGTTGTTCTTCAATGCATCAAACAAATCATCAACAAACTTTATAGTATCTAAACAAGGAGAAATGGTATATTATAAATTACATGTTTATAAAATGTAGCATTGTAGATTGCGAATCTGTGTATTATACAGCAATGTGGCAAGCATTAAAACTGACCAATCAGATCAGCACTAGCAATATATTCATGTCTCACAGACACACATGTTGTCCTACTAATGCACGTTGTCCTACTACTGCACATGTTGTCCTACTAATGCTGTAGTAGCAACGCATTCACATGTTGTCCCACCAATGCACATGTTGTCCTACTAATGCTGTAGTAGCAAAGATGTGTATAAGAGACAGGCTTTAAAATGAATTTGTGTGGTTATATGTCAGAGGTCAGAGGTCTTCGTAGAACCTTGTTTGGGAGTTTCTTTAAAATGTAAGAGTTGGATTGATGTATTTAATACCTGTCTCTTATACACATCTAGATGTGTATAAGAGACAGGGCCTACAGTTGGCAGCTTCTAAGCATTCTGATCCCACTCTAGGCCCTGCACAAATTTGTTTTTATCGGACATTTTTACCTTCTTAAATACCTAGATTGTGGATTTTACTCCAAAAAAACCTTATTTCTTTTGTGGTGGTTTTTATTCAATTTTCACACTTATATACAGGTCTCTGACTTGCTTAGTGAGCCAAGACTTTAATGCATCAACATCCTGAATGACGGGCATGATCCTCTAATACTCTGATCAGTTCATAAAATGCACCTGCAAAAAACAAAATTGTTACTATGAATGAAGTATTAACTACACACTGTATGAATTCAAATAAACACGGCGCTTTGAATGATCGTCCCACTTCGAATAAATGCCTCCCTCTAATGAACATGTGACAACACACATGCCAACAGACAAAAATATAAAACACAGTTACAACAACAATGGCTTGAGGTGCTGTCAAGTTACCATGCAAATGACACGTATGAAGATTTCGTCCAGACGTTGAATGGTTTAATCAATACATGTTTTCCTATAAAAGAAGTTAAATATCAGGCTGACAAACAGAAAAGCCCCTGGATTACAGAGGGAATAGAAAATCAATTGAAACTAAAGACAAACTGAATAGATACAGAAAAAAAACAACTCCCACAAATAAAAATAAATACACAAAATTCAGAAACAAATCAACAACGCTTATTAAAACTAGAAAATCAGAATATTACGAAAACAAATTCAGTAAAAATAAAAATAACATAAAAAAAGACATGAAAAACAATAAATAATGCAATTGGGAGAAATAACAAAGAATGTAAGCCAACACAAGTATATGAAAATGACACACTATACAGTACGCCACAAGAAAAAGCACAATTTCTTCATTAATAGGTGAAAGTTTAATCATAAATATAGAACAAAATGATATACTGTAGGACAAAATGATATAGCACTAAATGTATTTCTATCAAACAAACAATGTAATTCTATATTTGTAAATCTGGTCTCCGAGAGAGAAATACAGGACATGACGGTATTCATGGACAATATATTCAACCCTATTCCGATATTCTCGCTAAACCTATCTCATATATAATAAACGTGTCTTTGATGACCGGATTATTTCCATGTGAGCTAAAAATCGCAAAAACAATACCCATATTCGAAGGAGGAGAACGCAACAAAATGCCAAACTACAGACCAATATCGATACTGCCTTGTCTCTCAAAGATATACAAAAGAATTATGTATCACCAAACTGTATCATACCTGGATAACTATACAGTCGACTCTGCCTAAGTCGAATCTAATGGGACTGGCATAAAAAGATCCAGTTATACAGATTTCGACTTGCAAATTTTCGGGGAAAAAAAAAAAAAATTAACATATAACAATACTATGTGTACTCAATGCCCACAAAATCAAATTTCACGCAAAACCGAACATTTTTTAAAGTCCCAAAATCATTCCTATTCATCTTTTAATAAAATACTTTCCTGAAAACATGAACTCCCTATTCCGAATCTCGGACGATTTGTCCAATTCAGGACGGTAACACTCACTGGAAAAACCAGACAATAGTTAAATTGACATCGTTTAACGACAAGCATACCACACGCTTTGAAAACGAGACGCTGTACTCGCATTGCCATGGAGATTATCCGTTGATTAACATGACACGCCAGTAGACGTTTTGTTGGTTAATTATGAAGTGAAATTTAGGTACGCATTCCAATTAGTGTATATTCTTGCTTTTAATCCTTAAAAACCATTTGGAATCAACCTGAAATAAAGACGGAACTCGACAAAGCAAGTTCCTACTGGTTACTATTTTTAGTAGACGTCTAATTCAAATTCGTTAGATTCGTCAGTATAAATTGCAAATGCACCTCAAGATGCTATTCAAAACATGTTGCTAATTTTATTAATATTACGGAGGAAATTTGTAGAGAATAAAATCTAATTTGTTAGGTTTATTTAGATTGACTCTAAAATAATACCATGAGGGTTTCTTATTTGTTTTTTGCCTTGTTTTATAAATTTGTTTAACAAAACATTCTTGATTACACCGAGCTTGTTTACTGTCACGCACTATGAAACTTTGGGCGATCTGACGTCATCACAACCGC